CGCAAAGTAGTTGCAAATTAAATTTATTAATTTCTCTGTCTTAATTTATGTGACATTGTAACTGAACTTAATAGTAAAAGAAAAAAGTTCAAATTATGGTTTGTTTTGGATAAGGAATTTCCTTATCCAATGTAAAATAGTACTAGTTTCGGCTATAATTAGAATTTCAAAATGTTTTCCATCGACTTATTACAAATGAAAATAATAAATTATGCCCAAAGTGGGGCTAACTAAATATATTGTTCCTCACGTTTTAATTTACGTAGTATGAAAATGTAATTAAAAAAAAAAGAGAAAACAATTAAATTTGTGGTTCTTTTTAGAATATAGCTTGTATATAGTGACGAGTCAAAGATTTAAATTAGGAGAATTCCAATATAAAAAAATGTGGACACATAGAAAATAAAAAAAATTAACATATAATATATTATAATTTTCTAACGAAGATCACCCCGCTACAAATCATATACTACCCAAAAGAGTGTGCCACATGAACTTAAAAACATGAATGTTTGATATTATGGAATGATGTTGGCACTTTTTAGGAAATTCTTTGATTGAAAAATAAAAACTCTACTTTTGGACTAAGATAACATGAGAAATTCCCTAGGAAAATTCTGCATTTGACCTATTTGAGAAGTCATTTTCTCCTAATTTTAGGAATATAAGTTAATTTGAAAAATCTTTTGATTTTATTAGTTCAATTTGAATTTTGCATATTCCTTTAAAAATAATAATTAATATGAGTATTTTATGATATACTACTAAAAAACCATTGTATTTCCATTGAAAAATATTCAGTATTAGTCTCATAAATATTTTAATTAGATTAGTGAGAAAATAATAATAATATTTTTACACAAAAAATAAAACTACGAAGCTTTTCCATATTTCAATGAGAATCCCTTTTCCATTATGAGTTTTTCCAATGAGCTTGTCCGGTCATGTAATATGGGTGAGAAATTGAGTTATAATTATTTGTACGATTATGATTTTTTTTTTTAAAAAATATATTCCTTTTTAGAATATAATACCATTAAAAGGTTGCCAAAGTCAAATGATATTGGCACATATCTAGATCACTGTTCAATAATAGTACTCCCTGGCCCTACTCCTTCTGCTTCAATTTACATAACACAATTGAAATTTTAATTATATCATATAAATGAAAATAGAAGAAATATTATTACTCCTAGTAAATTTTTTTTACTAATTATTGACAATTAAAACAAAGCAAAGAGAACTTCTTATTGGAATAGAAAATCGAAGGATTGAAGCTGATATCAAACACTCATATGTATGAATATCTAAGATATTAAACTAAAAAAATGAAATTTTACACATCTCAATTGTTTCCATCTTGAATAAGAGAAGCTATTTTAGTCCCACAAAAAGCTAGGAGTTTCTTCAACATTTTGCATGTAATTACTTGGATTTTGACTTTGGAGTAATTGGTAATACCTCCAATTCATCAAATTCAATTATATAGTCCCATAAATGTATTTGGGAACCTTCCATATCAATATTGCTGCAAGTTGCTCCATAAATCAATTCCTTCATCTTATCATACAAAGTTGTAGCTTTAAATTCCATTCTTGAATTTATGTTGATCATCTCCACCTAAATAAATCAAATAATATTAAAATGTTAGTTTTAGTTTGAGTTTGGAATACAACTAGTTGAGATAAGTATTATGAAAGTTTGAAAGACGATTTGGTATACGTAGTTCTTCTAACCGAAAAACGATGTAGAAAAATGCTTCTATATACAATTTTGGACATGTTAGTAGCCCCCTAACATTTAAGTTTTCAAGAAAGAAAAAAATATATAAGTATTATGTTTAACTTCCCATCGACCCTAACATTACAAATACTATTTATTTTTTTGTCAAATATCAACCGATTCATGTCCAAACTTCAACTTTTCCATCATTATCAAACATAACCTTAGAATCATTACCTTAGTTTCATGAGAAATTTGCAGTGTAGAGTTTCCATTGAGTTGAAAGCTTGTAGACACAACTTCAACACCTTCCTCATGGCATAATCGAATGATGTTATTAAAAGTGGCTATATTATTAAGGCTAGTTATTAAAACCATGACCATGTTTGGGCCCATTTGATGGAATTCAATCTGAAGTGGTGACTTGGTGCTTGGGCGGGGCTCATTAGTTGGATTGAGTGATTGGGCCCTCTTTAGGCCCATTTTCAATTCTTCCAAGTGCTTATTGTTCACCTCCAAATTCATTTTCAAGTTTTCTATGTAATTCACTGCTGCATCTATTTGATCTGTCACTGTCATTGTTGTTTTCTGCAACAATACTCAAATTTGTATTAGAAGAACAAATACCGATTCAGGAGTTTGAAGTTTATGAGCTCTGAATTCTATAATTTTTTCGAGTGTAGTTAGGTTCCAAAATAAGAACTTGTAAAACAAATACAAAATTTTAAACCAAAGCTATTGAATTCTACCGAATACCTTTTACACTATCTACTCCACCGGGCGCTCCATGCATGCAAAAAATGTTTTTGCCAAGAGCAGGTAATATGGGAAAAGGAGAATAATTGGATGTACGCAAACAGATTCAAAATTTAAATTTAATGGATTCAACTTTTGAAAAAACATTTGATCAGTTACTACTAATCAATTCATTGTAATATTAATTATAGGTTCAGATCTAATATTTGATCTTTATGTTTTTATCGATGAATCCGTTGCACTTTCAAAAATTTTAAAAACATAATAAGTTTAATACTAAAAACTTTAAAAGAACTATCCTTATTGGAAGTAGAGGAATGAGTAGTAGGGAGCATGGAATGAAGTTGATTACAGAGATTCTTCATATAATTCCTTCTATTTTTCTCCACATATTTCTTTTCCATTTTTTGACCTAATTTAGACTTTAGGTTATAACTTTTCATTTCTTTTTGTTGAGTATTACCACTACCATTTTTTGAAACTTTTTGCCTAAAATGTTCTTTATATACCACCTAGGCAGGTTGGTTCCCCTTTGGGACATCATTCATGATGAGAAAACATTAATAACATACTTAGTATAATCCCAAAAATCATATTAGGATATATAGGGATAGGATGTACGCAAAGAGCTTACCCCAACCTTTGTAAAGTAGAGGCTATATATTTCCGATAGATCCTCAACTGAAAAAAAATGTTAGTTTGTAATACATGATATAAAGGTATTAAATTGAATGGACACATTTGTTCATGAAAGAACATTATTATTCTGAAAAGTCATCTCTTAAGTTCTATAAATATAAGAATTCTCCTGAAGTAGTGTAAGAAAAATCGATATACATGTATATTAAACATGAGTTTTGTTATATTCCGAAGGAAATATTGCTTGTGTTTTTTTCAATCTATATACGAGCAATATCTCTTTAAAAAAAGTCGACACCTCAAAGTCATTAAATTATTTCTTCTTCGATTATGTTTCCTATTATTGTAACAAAGAAGAGTAATGAAAGAAAAATAACGATAATAAAATAATAAAAAATACACAAACAAATAAACATTTTTAGTAATAAAGACTGGAGAATAAGATCTTACTAATTGAGTGTAATAATTAAATTTACTATTTGTGGAGTTGACGTGTAAAAGTTGAAACACATGTACGTTTCTCTAGTTTTTTGTTCCATTAAAGAGCTGACATTGTTGAAATATATTTATAGCACGTGAATTAAATTATTGAATACTTTAGGAATTTCAATTAGCTACTTCCATTATTATTAGTGAGAGATAATCAGACAAAAAATATTATTAGATCGGTTGTCATATTTTCTAAAAGTTCAACTAATGTTTTTAGTTCTCACTATCAATTTTTTTTATTATTTAAAAAATTATCAATAAAAAAAGAAAAAATTTCCTTTCACACAATTAATTTTCTAAATCTGAGATAAGATAATATTAAAATTTGAATCAGTAAAATGCTATTTTCTTTTGTGTTGAGGACAAGTAGGTAAGTCTATGAGTAAATTAATTAGCAAGATTTTGTCATTTTTCTTTACTCTCTTGTTACTAAAAAGTTTTACAACGTAACATAAATGTGTTTTTTTTATTTCAAATATTGTTAGGCTTAAATATCTCGGGATGAGCTAATATTAAGAATTTAAATAAATAAAATGTTTTCTTTTAGAATAAATAAAAGAATTAACTAATTAGTAAAAGAATTCAATTCAATTAAATTTTGGTTTTAGCGTATTTTTAGATCAAAAAGTGGAAAGAGGGACATTTTTTAACCAAAAATAAAAGTGGAGGACATTTTTAAATTAAAAGAATATGGAATAGGGATATTTTTGAGCCATTTTCAATAGGTTAGATATATTCTTACTCCAATTTGATTCAAGATGAGTAACCGAGTTTTTTTTTCCTATGATCGACACGAAAATTCCTCTCGATTATACAAAAAACATAATTTAATATAGTCCATGAAATAGAAGTTTAAATACATCATCTTTCTTACTCTTAAATCAAACTTACTTATACAACGAATTACAAATTTACAATAAAAGATTGACGCCAACTCTCTTTTTTCCTTTTTACTTGTCACATTTCGCTTTCCAAGAGTCATCAAATAACCTGAACTTCGACCATTATTAAGAAGTCACTATTTTTTCATTGAAATTTCCCCATGAAAAAATGTTCCATGGCTATTCCAATAGATACAATTTGATTGGATCGGTGAGAAACGAAAAAAATGTTTAGTGGTTATTCCCAGTATTCAATAGGAATATGTTTCTCAACGTACGCTTTTTCAGTGAGCTGGTTTGATGAGAATGGAGTGGAAAAAATGTGTTTTATAGCACAATTTTCTCATTGATTTGCGCTAGGAAAAACCTGCCTATAAATTCTAATAGTGGACCAAAATTTTAAGATGCATTTTTTTTCATTATATTAATATGAGAAGAATTGCAACTTATAGTATTTCTCACACAGTTTTCAAACATCAAAATTTAAAATATTAAAATAATTTTTTGAATTTTATTTAGTTTCAAAAATTAATTAAATTGACTCATAAATTAAAATGTGACAAGTAAAAAGAACCGAGGGAGGAAAACTAAATCCCCTTGTTATAACGCTCAAATGTAAAAGCATCCAATTTCGATAACAACGACTATGGACTTACGGAAAGATTGATACATACACCTATAATGTTTGTTAAACATGTACATGAGAATAAATAATTAAAGACCTAAAAGAGGATTAAAAAGTCATAGCCAAAAGATAATTAGGTGAGGGTGTGGGGTTTGAAAATAGCATATGTGTTGGGTCCATGGTCGAATCAGGAAGCGATACGTGGCAAGAAAAATAGGTCAACAACGTTGGACATTAAATAGCTATGTAATTGAAGTTATTAAACTTGCACGAACTTTATGAGGGAAAGATTCACGAATGACACTCCCTAGAATTTAGCTATAAATAGTCTTTTATTTACTTAAGCTATACATCAACCAAACATAATAGGCTAAATTGAACAAATTATAATAGATTGAGTTAACAAATGAGTAAATCATTAATATATATATCCAAACTTAAACGAATTGAATGGGATCATATTTTTCTTATTGGAGGCAAGAGCAAATAAGATAAAACTTTTGTTTCAATATATATATCTAGAGAAGTTGGACATTTGTTGAAAAAACTTATGACTTGAGGGCCAAGTAAAGGGAAATTTTGGACATTTGTTGAAAAAACCTTATCAATAGATTAAATTACTACATTTTGTCTCATGTAAGACAAAATTAACCTTTTTCAAGTGTAAGAATAAAGAAAAAAATTATTTTGCTCCAATCATATACTCAACATAAGGGGTGTGTTCACAATTTGATTTGGGTTGACTTTTCTCTTAAAAAGTACTCTAAAATAATTTTTAAATGTTTAAATCAAACAAATTAATTAAGTTTGATTTTTCATATTTAATTTGATTTGATTCTATTTTATTTTTTTGTGAACATCCATCTAATGTTGTTATCAGGGATGCTTAAAAATTGAACCGATCAATAAATCGAATTAAAAAATGATAGTGATTTTATATATAAAAAATATCGGGTTATTGGTGATTTCAATTTTTTAATATTGAGTTATTGGGTAAATCGATTACTCATTAAAATTGTAGTAATTTACTATTTTATCCCTACATAATATTAAAATAGTCAATACCTTCCTGGTTATTGCATTGCCCTTTAGCCTTCAATTCACACTTCACGGTGACTTTGAGTTCAAAACTTCACATTATCAAAAATGTTAAAAACTAAAGTAAGAACCATATTCCTCTTAATTTCTCTTTGTGTTACACTTGTATAATTCTTTTCATGTTAGCTATTATTATTTCAATTTTATGAGTGTTTGTAAAGTTACATCATTGTCTTGTAGCGTCAAATTATTGGAGAAGTCATGAATTTGTTTTATAAGCATTTTCTTATTGGTTAAATCGAAAACCGAATCGTTAAGGACCAAAATCGATAAAAAAATATCTTATTAATTTGGTTATTGATTTAACGTATTTAAAAATAAAAAATCAATAAACCAAACCAGTAAAACATAAAATCAAACTGAACCAACCGATGCACACCCTACTTGGTATTATTACTTTTATTAATTTGCGTCATGCATAAATTAAAGTTGGTGTGATTTTTATAAGATGCTATTCTTTTGGAATTTTATAAAATAGTACTTTTTATTTATTTATATTAGGTAATCTAGTAATTATGAAGATAATTAATTTGATCATTGTGGTAAGACTCTATTATGATTTTTTTTTATCATATTCTTCATAGGGTCTTCTTATCTTTTGTTTTTCCAAGCTATGGTAATTTTGGAAGGAATCGAGAAAAAAGTATTAGCAATGATTGTTTTATTATGAGACAACTGATCATGATGTTCATATCGATCTTAGCATTGAGTAGATCTCATACAATAATTGTCCCAACTCTACCATATTTTTGCTTTATTTCTTCTGAAACAATCACAAACACTTTTTTATTATGGATCTACTACCAAAAAATTAATGTGTAATCTTAGCATTCAATATGTATTTCAGAATAATCTCATTTTACTTTGATTTGCCTGGCTATCTGGTTGGCAGTGGGGTTTTCGTGTGTGACAACTCTACAGAGCAAGTTGCTCTTTTATGCGGACAACTGTGTGACAACACTACAAAGAAAATGATGTTTTCGTATAATATACTATGGTCTCAACGTTCTTACGAGATAGCAATGAATTTCACTCTCTCTAAACCCAGCCCACCCACAATTAGAAAGATTGGCTGCAAAGCAATGCCACCCACTCTGCCCTACCGCCTGTAGGCAGCCGTCATATCTACACTCTATTTTCCACCAACAACATATCCAATGTAATTCCAAAGGTAAGATATGAGGAGGGTAGAGTGCACGCAAACCTTATCCCTACCTCATGTAGACAGATAGACTTTTTTTGAACGACCCTCAACTCAAGTGCAACAAATCAAAGTCCGTCATTGTATGCAATATGCACAATATTAACATCCCAAAAGAAATTCAAGTTGATGAATCATTCCTGGGACAAAAAAAGGTTTTGTATCCTTAATACAACCTAAATAAATCTTGATTTCCTCAGCAATCACAAAAGAATTAGAAGTTTACAAGTTGAAACCTTTGCATTAGCTGCTTGTTGAGGTGAAATGAACGCAGACCTTAAGTTTCAGCTGCAACAGAATGCGGAAATATACTATGGTTTAGATAGAACAAAATAGGATGGTATACGCATTGATTCAACGAATGCATGTAAAACTTACAGTTATAAAATTTGTGGATTCGCACCACAAGATCGTCATTTCCCATGCTATGTTGTTCTTCTTGAATCCTATTTGCAGAGGCATCAGCAGAAG